TCCTTTACCTCCAATACAGAAGATGTACGTGGGAATGGTGAACTCTCTTTAAAAACATTAGAATAGAATTCTTCCGCCTTCTCAACAGTATTTAATCGGTATCTTTCTCCCTTGTACCTCAAGATTATACCAGTTGGAGCATCCCACCTGAATGGAATTTGTTGTTTTTTTAATTCATTCACTAGAAAGCCAAAATCCTTTCTATCTTTTAACATCTTAGGTGGTAGCTCTTTATAAACTCCAATCTCCTTTCCCTCCACTTGCACAGCAGAGAGAAAAGACTTTTGCAAAATATCATTTCTCATTTTTCTATCTGTAAAGTATATCACCACATCTCTGGGCAATTGTCTTTGTCTGGCCACCCACGAATTCACTCTGTACACTTTATCCATTTTGCAGAAAATCTCTTCAGGGCTAATCTTTAACAACACAGCTAGAGCATCAGCACAGATCTTTCTCAGATCTTCCCCATCATTCTCTTTTAAGCCTCTCAGCCTTATAGCAAATTCCATGGACCTGAACTGCATCATTGTGATCTCATTCTCAAGTCTTTGCATTTTGTTGTCAGCATCAAAGATTTTATAGTCAGTCTCCTTCATTTTGACATCCATTTCTGATCTAAATTCTTCCACCTTATTATCAGTTTTAATAATTGCTTCTGACAATCCAGTCACCACTGTCATTAATTTTTGGGTCACCTTGTCATATTTTTCTTGCACCACCTCTAATTTCTTTAATCTCCTGCTTGATTTCCTGTTGTGACTTTTTAAACTTCTCATCCAAATTTTCATCTTGCCTCATCAAAGCCTGAGTAATGAAATCCTTTAAACTTTCAAGATCAATCTCTTTTTTCTGGCTCTGCTGGCTGGGAGGCTGCTGTTCAGGTTTATGTGTGGGGGATCCCCCCCCTACCGTCTTTACTTCCTGTTTAGTCTGCTTAGAAGCCATCCTGCCAAGTAGTCTAGCTTTTCCAAAAAAGGAAATCCTTTTTCCCTTTCCTCCACCACAAAATCCTCTAAAAAATTCCCCCAGGTTTAGTCAAATTAGAGGTGAAATTGAAGCAAAATCAGGCTTGTTTTAAAAAAGATTCTCTTTTCCTCCACTTGTTACAGACAGTGCTACTTTGTAACTTGTTGAAATTACTTTGCTAATCCACTCTCGCTTTCAGCTCTCATTAACGCTGAAGCTGGGCGCCATTTTCAAGAGACTTTCACTCATTCACTCTTCTATTTTAAAATTAATCACAGGGCTAGTAATACTTGCAGTTTCGTGGTTCAAGTTGTTCTTCCACCCTGTTTGTTTGAATTTGCTTTGTTCTCAGTAAGAAGGTTGGTCCTGCCGCCTTGTTCTATGCTGGGTAGACTCGTCCCACGCTGTCCGGAGTCTCGGCGAGCTGAAAGGGAGCTGCGCCTGTTTCCTCCCCAGAAGCAAAAGGAAGCTATCTGGGGGCTCACAGGGGCTCTACCTGCTTCTTGTCAACTCTATTCCTCCAATCCTTCAGGATTCAGGAACTTCCGAGCCGCTTCTCTTGATCGAAGTGGCTCTGACAGGCAGCGGGGCTGGCGGTCCTTTTTCGGACCGTCTTTCGGCGACAGGAACCAAACCGGAAGTCCTATTTATTGTTTCTTTTACTTTCTTATCTCCTGGATTAAGTATAAGTAATTGTTCTTTCTTTTTTATTTCCTCCTCTATCTCTTTCCGCTTCTTTTGTTGTTTTAATCTATGTTTATTATTCATATGTATTAAAGTTAAGCCTTACTAGCATCCCAAACCATTTCCATAGAAGTACCCTTATGCATATCAATAGCAAAAAATTCTTTCATTTGTTTTTTAAGCTCATTCACATTTTCTTCATATCTAAATAAATTTTCATTTAGCCTCCAAGACCTCCTTTCTCCCTTCTCCTGTTCCATTTCCACCCAAACCGGACTATGATCAGTTAGAATTCTTGGACAAATCTTCGTTTTCTTCACCCTAGAAATAAAATCATTTGTGATTAGTATGAAATCAGTCCTGGAGAAGGATCGATGTCTATCAGAAAAAAATGTCTTGTTGCTGATTAGGGGCATATATTCCAATTAAAAGCATTTTTCCAGTCTGAGTTAATAATTCAATTGCAATATATCTTCCTTGAACATCTGCCTCAATTAAATTAGCTGGTAGTCCTTTCTTTACATATATAACTAACCCATTTTTCTTCTCTGGCGCTGATGCCACAAAGTGTGTACCTAATCTTGAATTTATCAAATATTTTTGGTCTGATAGTCTAATATGTGTTTCTTGCAAACAAATAACATCGTTTTTAAATTGTTTCAAATAATGAAATACTTTCTTTCTTTTTTGTGGTGAATTTAAACCATTAACATTCCAAGATAGGAATTTAGTTGCCATCTTTGGTCTTTCGAAGCTTCAAGAGCATCAGCTGAACATCCTCCTCCACCTTACTCTTCGGCCTAGCCCCCCCCCACTGCTTCTGTTTTTTGAACTTCTTGAGGTAAATCTTGAGGTTGTCGCACTTTTAATTGTTGTTCTTGACGTTTATAAATTGCTCGGGTCAGTCGTTGTTCTCTTGGCTCTCCCTTCTTAGATGGTTCCAGAGTTGGGGGTGGGCCTCCAAGATCCAGATCTTCTTCCATAGGGATTCCTCCAGCTGCAACTTCAGCATAAGTTTGTATCTGCTTTCCATCTTTTTCTTGTTGTAACATCTCCATTTTCTTTCTCCCCCCCCCCCCCCGGTGAGGGTGGATGTCCAGCGTTTAGAACATTAACATAAAAATCTTTTGCCTTCCAGACTGTGTTTAACCGGTATCTTTCTCCACTATAATTCACTATTAGACCAGTTGGAACATCCCATCTGTACGGCACTTGTTGGTTTCTCAGTTCATTTACCAAAAAGCCAAAATCCTTTCTGCTTCTTAATATTTTTGGAGGGATCTCTTTCAGAACCACCACTTCTTGTCCAGCCACTTGAACCTTATTCTTGTAGGAAGCCTGTAAGATGTCATTTCTGATCCTCCTGGTTGTAAAATAAATCACCACATCTCTTGGCAACTGCCTTTGTCTTGCCACCCAAGAGTTAATCCTGTAGATTTTATCAATTTGACTTGCCACATCTTCTGGTCTTTCTTTAATTATCTCTACCATAGCTTCAGCACAAATGTCCTTTAAATTTTCCTTGCTATTTTCTTTCAGGCCTCTCAATCTCAAGGCAAATTCCATAGATCTGTATTGTAACATTACCAATTCATCATCCACCTTCTATGTTTTAGTCATAATGTCTCCTACTTTGTTTTCCAAGTTCAGATTGGCTTCATTGATTTCTTCCACTCTCTCATCCACCTGAATAACAAGTTTTGCCAATCCTGAGACTGCAAAAACAATATCATCTCTTATTTCATCATGCTTTGCTTCAACAACTTCTTTAATTGACTTTATATCCTCCTCAAATTTCTTTAATTTCCCTTCCACAATTACTGTTAGGTTAGTCATAGCTGCAGCTTGATTATTCATGGCTTCTTTTATAAATTATTTGAGTTCATTAAAAGAAGCCTCCTGACTCTGTGAATCAGCCAGAAGTTGTGCTTTCTGTGTCACTGCTGACACTACTGGAGAACCTCCTCCTCCTCTAGCAGCTCCTGGCTTAACTTGTTTAGAAACCATCTTTTTTAAAAAAATCTTTTTTCCTTTCACAGCCACAAAATCCCTTGAACAGTTTTCAAAAGCTTGTAATTTATAGTCTATAATTTATCAAACAAAATAGTCTTTTCTCCACAAGCTCTCACTTCCCAGCAGCTTTAATCCACTCTCAAAGTGCAAAGTTCTCAATAAGCAGTTTCGTTTCTAACTTTCACTTTCACACCCATAACAAAGGCGCCGTCTTCAGCCTCCGGCTCAAAGAGATTCAATTAGAAACAATGTAAATCCGGAGTTAAGCACTGTTACTTTTAAAGCTTGTTCTCCTGTTTCTGCTCTGCCTGCGCTTGTATTCAATCAAACTCACTTTTGCCAGCAAGATCGGTCGCGGCGTCTGGCTCTGTTTAAAACAGAGTTGTCCCGGATCCGGAGCTTCTTAGTGGGCTGACTGGGGAGCTCTCACCCTTCAAGCCTCTGGAATTATTCCAGAGGACTTTCGGGGAGCTCTACTCACACCCACCGGCTCTCCTCTCCTTCTCCCGATGGAGAGGTTTTTAAGCCTCCAGACAGCCAATTAGCGCTGTCAAAGCGGCTTTTACGAGATCACAGGGCTGGCGGTCCAAAGAGACCGTCCACGACGCCTGTGGTGCCAACCAGAAGTCACTTTCCCTTCCCTTCTTAAATTCAATACACTATAAAATAAAAATGGAGAGAGAGAAAAATAAAAAAAATAGACAAAAAAATAAAACCAGGGAAAATTTGTACTAAAAAGGCACTAAAGACACAAATAAAACGGAAATCTCCAGATCAATCCAGTCCAGTCCAAGTTAAAAAAAAAACAATCTTCCATAAACATCCACAAGTAGAAATAGGTTGAAAAATAGGGACAGCTACCTTAGACTCAGGCTTAATTCCGCCGCTTCTTCTGTCTTCAGTTTTAACTTTCTTTTCACCTAAGGGTGTTCTCTCAAATAATCTATTTAAAAGTTCTCTCACCAAGCCAGCACACTTTCTCCCGATCTCTTCTGTTCCGAAGCTGTCCCAACTTCAGCAGCTTCAATGCCTGCCTCTTTGCCTCCGGAAAAAAAGGGCTTCTCCTGGATCTACCAGGGACTTTGCGGTGTCCCTGGGATCAGCAGGATGTGCCCTCCACTATCACCGTCTCTGCAGGACGGTGAAGTCCAAAATGGACCGCCCAGTGGCAAAGATATTGATGGCGATCTTGGAGCTTCAAGATCGTCCGCTGTACCGTCGTGACACCAGCTCCACCCCCTCCCAGAGCCCAAAGTTCTTGAGTATCCGTAGGGATAAGAGGGATCCTTTGGGGCCCGGATTCAAATCCAGGGATGGCTTCTTTGCTGGCGCAGGTGACCTTTGAGGACGTGGCGGTCTATTTCTCCCGGGAAGAATGGGAAGAGTTAAGCGAATGGCAACGGGAGCTCTACCAAGCGGTGATGATGGAGAATTACGAGGCGGTTCTGTCCTTGGGTAAGAACGACTTCATTGCTCAGATCCTGGAGGGAAGAGGGTAAGTGACTTCCCAGGGTCCTCCTTGGCCCCAGCTTTGTGTCTCCAACAGTAGTCAGCTGGATGCTTTGGGGTGGGGGGAAGCTTCAAGCAGCTTCAAGATCTGAAGGCCGCAGACCACGCAGACTCCGTCAGAGTTCGTTGGAGCACATCCGACCAGCACACAAGTAAATGAACTTCAGGAGGATTTCAATTATATATAAGAAACTTCTTTATATACAATACCATACAGCAGAAATCAGGAACACAGAAGCAATATTCATAGAAGTGAGTCATTACAGAGGAGAGAGATACAGAGGCTAATATATTGTACAAAGGTACCATTTACAGAGGCCAAACTAGGGGTGAAATGCTACCGGTTTTGACCGGTTCGGAGCACCGGTAGCGATGGCAGCACGAGACTCCGCCCACCCACCCATCCACCCAGCTGTCGTTATTTCTTGGTTTTAACCAGGAAGTAACCTGTTTTTTACCCTCTGTGCATCCGCAGAAGGGTTTGCGCATGCAGAGAGGGTCCGTGAATGCATGTGATGCATGCACGCGGCACATGCACTTCCCAACCAGTAGGGAAGGTAAGTAGATTTTACTCCGGGCCAAACCAACTCTTACATACAGTTCAGCAAGTCTAAGCCAAACTGTCTCTTATGGCCCCATACAACAAATGCTATGTTTCAGTTTCCAAACAGTCCCCATTGGCTGACCTCTTACCATGTCTATCCAAACAGTCTCCATTGGCTGACCTGTTGCTATGACTATTCCAGTCTATGAATATTCATACTCTGACAGAGTCTTTGACAGTGAAGCTTCCATAGTCCTAGCCAAGGCCATGGCGATGCATTCCACGGCCTCTTCGGTACCATCCGTGCCAGAAGCTAGAAGTCTCCCAGCTGGAGAACATTTGGTTGACAGACGCCCCCCCCAAACTGGTCTCCGAAAGAGGGAGTCGCGGGGAGTTCCTCGTGAGATCGAGCCTGTCTTCCAAATCCTACTCTGGATTTTGGACGATGGGATTTGTAGCCCAACCGCTCTGAAATGAAGGGTGGGTTAAGAGCCTTCGGAAAGGGCTGTGAAGGTCCTCGAATCTCAAAGCCAGGGAAGCAGATAAAAAGATATCCATCAAGATGGCGGGTCAGACTCTGCTTGAATACCTCTGGGGACAAGGAGCTCATCACCGGTGGCATTTTTTTAAGGAGGTTTTGTCTGACATTCGTTCGGAGCCTACCGACCTCTCTATGAAGTCCATGAATAAAAGAGAACATTTGTAGTTCAAGGGTGAACTGTGGGATCCTTGGTGCTCTCTGAGCTTGGAGGTTTTCTCGCAGATGTCTCATGACCCAACTAGGGAACATCATCAGGGCTAGAAGGGTGTGGGGCTTGTGGAGTGGAGGAGGAGAGGAGAAGTAGGAGGAATGAGGGGTCCTTGGTGCTCCCTGAGCTTGATCGTATTCTTGCGGATGTTTCATAGCCCGATTATGTAACCTCATCAGTGCTAGAAGGGAGTGAGGTTTAGTTTATTTAGTTTATTTGATTTGTATACCGCCCTACTCGCGAAGGACTCAGGGCGGTGAACAGCCAAACAATAAAATACATATACAAAAAATTTAAAAACCAAATAAAATCAAATTAAATCATTTTGGCCCAGACAGATTAAAACACCCCAATAATTTAAAAACAGATTAAAATTTACATATTAAAAGAGGGAGGAGATTAGGCCAAGCCTGCTTGATGGAATAAAAAGGTCTGCACAGCGCGGCGGAAGGTGCACAGATCCGGGATCCTCCGTATCTCCGGGGGGAGCTCATTCCAGATGGTAGGTGCCCCCACAGAGAAGGCTCTCCCCCTAGGGGCCGCCAGTCGACACTGTTTGGCTGACGGCACCCGGAGGAGTCCCTCTCTATGAGAGCGTACTGGCCGGTGGGAGGCTATTGGTGGTAGTAGGCGGTCCCGTAAATAACCAGGTCCTAAGCCATGGAGCGCTTTAAAGGTGGTAACCAAAACTTTGAAGCGCACCCGGAAGACCACCGGGAGCCTGTGCAGCTCGCGCAGGAGAGGTGTTACATGGGAGCGCCACGTCGCTCCCATTACCACCCGCGCGGCCGCACTCTGCGCCAGTTGGAGCCTCCAGGTGCTCCTCAAGGGGAGCCCCATGTAGAGAGCATTGCAATAGTTCAGGCGGGAGGTGACGAGGGCATGAGTGACCGTGCGTAATGAGTCCCGATCCAGAAAGGGACGCAACTGGCGAATCAGGCGAACCTGATGAAAAATCCTCCCGGTCACGGCCGTCAGGTGCTCTTCTAAAAACAGCCGTGAATCCAGGAGGACGTCCAAGTTGCGAGCCCTCTCCGTGGGGGCCAATGATTCGCCCCCAATAGTCAGTGATGGCGTCAACTGACTATATCGGGACGTCGGAAACCACAGCCACTCGGTCTTGGATGGGTTGAGCCTGAGCCTGTTCCTCCCCATCCAGATCCGTATGGCCCCCAGGCACCGGGACATCACTTCAAGGGCATCGTTGGGGTGATCCGGGGTGGAGATGTACAGCTGGGTGTCGTCAGCGTACTGATGGTACTCCACCCCGAAACCACGGATGATCTCGCCCAGCGGCTTCACATAAATGTTGAACAGGAGAGGCGAGAGGACCGACCCTTGAGGCACCCCACATATGAGGGGCCTCGGGGTCGACCTCTGTCCCCCTGTCAACACAGACTGCGACCGGTCAGAGAGAAAGGAGGAGAACCACCGCAACACAGTGCCTCCCACCCCTAACTCTTCCAACCGGTGCAGCATGATACCATGGTCGATGGTATCAAAAGCCGCTGAGAGATCTAACAGGACCAGGACAGAGGAGCACCCCCTGTCCCGAGCCCTCCAGAGATCATCAACCAACGCGACCAATGCTGTTTCCGTGCTGTACCCGGGCCTGAAGCCCGACTGGAACGGATCCAGATACGTCGTTTCATCCAGGTGCTGGGGGAGCTGTTGCGCAACCACACTCTCAACAACCTTTGCCACAAAACGAAGGTTGGAGACCGGACGATAATTTACCAACATTGCCGGGTCCAGGGAAGGCTTCTTGAGGAGAGGCCTTACCACCGCCTCTTTCAAGGCGGCAGGAAAGACACCCTCACCCAACGAAGCATTTATAATCCCCTGGAACCAGCCTCGTGTCACCTCCCAAGAAGCCAGCACTAACCAGGAGGGACACGGGTCCAATAAACAAGTGGTCGCGTTCAGTCTACCCAGAATCCTGTCCACGTCCTCAGGGGTCACAGGATCAAACTCATCCCAGCTAACATTCTCAAGACCTGCCCCAGTCCCTCCCCCTGAGACTACCCAGTCGGAGTCCAGATCTTCCCGAATCTGAGTGATTTTATCCTACAGATATTGAACAAAATCCTCGGCTCTACCCTCCAAGGGGTCCTCCCGCGCTTCCTGGTGGAGCAGGGAGCAGGTCACCCTAAACAGGGCGGCCAGGCGATTATCTGATGACGCAATAAGAGCAGCAAAATAGCTACATTTCGCTGCTTTTATCGCCACTAGGTAATTCCTAATATGAGATCTTACCAGTGTCCGGTCAGATTCAGAAAGACTGGCCCTCCAACTACTCTCTAGGCATCTTTTCCGGCGCTTCAACTCCCTCAGCTCCTCAGTGAACCAAGGAGCTAAATGAGATCGGCGCCGGGTCAGAGGCCGCAAAGGCATGACCCGATCCAGAGCTCCAGCGGCCACCCTATCCCAGGCGGCCACTAGGTCTCCAGTCGAGGCGTGTGCCAGAGCCTCAGGGAATGGCCCAAGCTCCATCTGGAACCTGTCAGGTTCCATCAGGCGCCTGGGGCGGAACCATCTTACCAGCTCCGCCTCCCTGCGGCGGGGTGTAGCGGTTCGAAGGTTGAGACGAAGGAGAGAGTGATCAGACAATGACAAGGGCTCAGTGACTATATCCCCTATCTGAAGATCACTCAACCACTGTCCAGAGACAAAAACCAGATCCAGCGTGTTTCCCCCCGTGTGGGTAGGGCCATGAATTAACTGGGTCAGGTCCATGGCTGTCACGGAAGCCATGAACTCCTGAGCCACCACCGACGCCTCACCCACGGATGACAGGTTGAAATCCCCCATGACCATAAGCCTAGGGGTATCACCCGCCACCGCGGCGATGACGTTGAGCAGCTCAGGCAGGGCTGCTGCCACTTGGCAGGGAGCCAGGTATGTGATCAGCAAACCCCTCTGAACCCCGTGACCCCATTTCACAAAAAGGGATTCACAGCCGGCCGTCTGAGGAACAGTGGCCTCCCTTGGTCTCAGACCATCTTTAATGATAACCGCTACCTCCCCGCCCCTCCCCTGTGACCTTGGCTGATGGAATGCGTGGAAACCTGGTGGGCAGGTTAAAGAACAGATCCCATTCCCTTCTTGCACTGATGGCATTACCTAGTTTGGTAATGAAACATCTACCAGAAAACCACCAAGCTTAAGAGAGCAGCAAGGTCAGTACTTCCCGTCCCTCTGGGCTCTGGGGACCAAAATAGACATGGAATGGGTTGAGACCCCTTTGTTTTTCTCTGTTTCCAACAGGACCCCTGCCCATCAAGCCGCGGATTATCAACCAAATTGAACAGAAGGAGGCCGTTGTCACGGGAGAATTGTGGAAGCCCTGCAAATGGACAGAGGCCCAAGACCAATGGCTGGGTCAGCATTTCTTACCGTTTTTTTTACCAATAAGAAAAAGTCATCATTTGTAGAGTTCAGGTAGTCCTTGACTTACAACGCTTCATTTACTGACCATTCCAAGTTACAATGCCACTGGAAAAAAACGTGACTTAGGAACCGTTTTTCACCCTTACGACCGTTGCCGCATCCCCGTGGTCACAAGATCGATATTTAGGACGCTTGGCAACTGACTCCCATTTATGATGGTTTGCCATGTCCCGCCATCCCGTGATCCCCTTTTGTGACCGTCTGACAAGCCAAGTCAACGGGGAAGCCAGATTCATTCCACAGCCGTGTTCCTCACTGAATGGAAAGTGATTCACTTAACCACCGTGGCAAGAAGGGTCGTAAAATGAGGCAACACTCACTTAACGAGTGTCTCACTTAGCAACAGAAATGATTAGTAATAGCATTTAGAGTTATATAAAGCTTCACAGTGCTTTACAGCCCTCTAAGCAGTTCAGCCTATTTCCCCCAACAATCTGGCTCCTCATTTTAGCGACCACGGAGGGATGGCAGGCCGAGTCAACCTTGAGACTCGAACCGCTGAACTGCTGGCAGTCGGTAGTCGGCAGAATTAACCTGTAATCCACCGTGCCGTGGTGGCTCTTAAATTACTAATTGATTAATTATTTATTAAATGAAATGATTGGCTTAATTGTCATCATAACTCGAGGACTACCTGAATTGATTTTTTTTTAAAAAAGCGGTCCAATCATAGGTGAGGCTTGGTCTTATAGAACGAAATGCGACAATAACAAAAATTGTGAAACAAACTCATTTTTGGAGTGGTATTTTTGAGAATAATTGCTGTTATGGGTTGGTGAACACTGGCGTATGACTCAAAGCATGTCATGTTTGACACGGATGTCGTTGGTGGTCTGTCACGGATTGAGGCCCCAAGCCTGCTTGGAATCTTACAAAAAATTCTCTGGAATCACAGTCGGTCTGCTGAGAATGAGATCCCAGTGACAATGTTTGGTTTGGAGATTAGCGAGAGGCAATCCGAAAAATCAAGATGGCACCCGCAGGTGCCCGATGCACATGCAAAGGGGCTTTTGTGGTGTGGGGGCCATCTTGATTTGTGATGGTCGCCTGCAGATGCTACTGAAAGAGAGGCAAGCAGAAAGGTGGTTGTGGTATCGACACCGAGCTGAGATTGGGAGTAGGTTGCTAGGTAATCGTTTTTGGGTGTTGAGAAGAAATGGGGGAGAAATCTAATTATGATTCTCTGCCTGGCCCTCGGTGATGACGTGTTCTCTTTCCTCCAACAGAAGATGGCATCCGGATGGTGGAGGACGGCGAGGGCAGAGGGGAGACCGGGCCTCCTGCGATACCCACTGTGAAGAGGAAGAAAGGCCGCCCTCGGACCGTCAACCCAGTCCCCAAACCCGAAAGCAAAGCTCCCCCCCGGGTGACACTGAAGATGAACCCGCCGAGGTGTCCTGAGTGCGGTAAAAGCTTCCTCAGCAATGTGGCCATGACCATCCACATCCGGACGCACACCGGGGAACGGCCATTCAAATGCCACCTCTGCCCCAAAGCCTTCCCCTCCCGGGGGGATCTCAAGAGGCACATCAAAACCCACCTTCGCAAGAAACCGCCCCCATCGGTCATGGCCCGCAGTGGCTCCTCGAAAAAGAGCTTGGCAGCCAAGTTGCAGCTGCAGTGTCACTTGCGCTGCCCGCCGGATCCGAAAAAACCATACAACTGTGTGCAGTGCGGGAAGAGCTTCAACAAGAAGCAGAGCCTGCGCAAGCACGAGGGGACGCACTCCACGGAACGGCCCTTCGCCTGCCTGGAGTGCGGGCGCAGCTTCCGGCTCAAGCAGATCCTGGTGGCACACATGGCCTCACACATCAAGGAGCGCCCCTTCGCCTGCGATCAGTGCGGGAAGTGCTTTGCCCAGGAACGCAATGTGCGCAGCCACCAGCGGGTGCACACCGGTGAGAAACCCTTCCTGTGCATGGCATGCGGGAGGCGCTTCGGCTACAAGCAGCACTTGGTCAAGCACCTGCGCTTCCACACCGGCGAGCGGCCCTACGGCTGCCCCGAGTGTGAGAAGACCTTCCGAGACAAGGCCACGCTGAACATCCACTACCGCATGCACACCGGCGAGCGGCCGTACCGTTGCCCATTCTGCAGCAAGACCTGCCGGCAGAAGCAACACCTCAATAGCCACCTGAAGGTCCACCGCGGGGAGAAGCTGCCCCCGGGGGACACCACTGGGGTCACCTTGCAAAGGGCCCGTGCTAAGGAGAAGCCGTACGAGTGTCCGCAGTGTCAGAAGCGCTTCCGGAACAAGAAGATCATGCTGGTACACCAGAAGACCCACAAAGAGGAACCGTTGCCACGAAGTGCCCCACTGCAGAGAAAGTGTGATCCAGTTGTGGCAGATAGAAAGGCCCCCAGGGCAGGCCAAGGGGCAGGGAGGAAAAGGAAGGACACGGGGCTCACCACGGGGACGGCGTCTGTCTCGTCGAAGTTGGTTCCCATTAGCTGCACCGTCTGCGGGAGGAGGTTCACGCAAAAGAAGTACCTGACACTGCATCAGAGGAGCCACAGGTGAGGAGATGCCACTTCCCGTTAGAATCTCATCTTTGGCAAAGACCCTTGGATAGTGCGTGGTGCAGGAATTGCCTGAGAAGAACCTTTTGCACAGCAGCTGCTGTGGAGGAGGTGCCAGTTTGGGATCAGAACTATGTAGACTCAGCGCTGTGAGAAAAGTCTCTTTATTGCAGGTGGCGGAACTGTTTCAGCTGCGGCACTGCTCAGAAAGGAAGCCCCACCCCCTTCTGTAGGACTGAAATCCTCCAGCTTTTACTCCTGCCCTTTGGGGTCAAAGGACAGCCAGCTGTTCTTCTCCCGGTCTTGAGAGCAGACAGACACTTCTGTGGGTTTCAGCCCTCTCTCTCTCTGTGTGTATGTCACTGAGCAACCAGGACCATCAAAACAAGCCAGGAACGGGTGATCATAGCTTCTCAAGCCTTCAGAAGGGCGTAACGCTTATCCCGAAAGACCCCTAAATCTAAAGGGGAACATTTTTCCACTCGATCTGTGAAACATTTAATGGCCGTCCGAGTGGTGTTTATCCCTAAATACAGGTAATCCTCAGCATACAACAGTTGGTCTAGTGACCGTTTGAAGTTACAACGGCACTGAAAAATGGCACATAGGCCCATTTGTCACACTTATGACCGCAGGTTCACGTGATCAAAATTCAGACTCTTGGCAACGGCTTCATATTTATGACTGTTGCTGTGTCCCAAGGTCATGTGATCCCTTTTTGTGGCCTGACCTGCAGAGTCAAGGGCGAAGCCAGATTCAGTTAACAACTGTGTTATTAACTAAACAATCACAGTTATTCAGTTAATAATGGTGGCAAGAAAGGTTGTGGCACACATTTAACAAATATCTCGCTTAACAACAGAAATTTGGGGCGCTGTTGTCGTCATAGGTCGGGGACTACTTGTATGCCAAAGGGTCCCTTATTCCTGCAAATGCCCTCTGATGTAGCTTCGCCATTCCTCGCACCCTGGGAGGCTTTCGGGACACTGAGACTTTTGCTTCGTAAGAAATTGCCACAAATAATTTACCCTGATACAGGAACTTGCATGTCGGGGTCTAGGCTTCTTCTGCAATAAACCAGAATATGGAGGAGGAGGAGGAGGAGGACTATGGGGTCCCTGGTGTCTCTGAGCTGGGTGGTTTTCATATAGACATTTCGTGACCCAACTAGGTAATGTCATCAGTGCTAGAAGGTAGTGGGGTTTGCAAGCAGGAGGAGAGGACCGGGATGACAACTGTGAGGTTCTTGTTGCTCTCTGAGCTTGGTAGTGTTCTTGAAGACCTTTCATGACTCACCTAGGGAACATCATCAGTGCTAGAAAGGAATGGGGGTTTGCAAACAGGAGGAGGAGGAGGAAAGAAAGATAAGATGCATCCTGAAACAAAAGGACAAGTTGAGTGCCTAAATCTGTTGATGGCTGCCTGGGAGAATTGCGTGGTGTGTTCCCCGAGGCTGGTTGATCCCAGATCCACTTTCAAAGGGCTGTCGGACGCCGTTCTTGAAAACTGGGGTGCAAGAAAAGGGACCAGCCTGTCCTTTTGCAAGGAGCAGGCACAGCCACAACAAATGGAAGAATAACAAGGGAAAGGGACTTTGGAGGTCTTCTAGTCAAACCCACTGCTCGAGCAGGAGACCCTTACAGAACAACAGAATCCCAGTTGGAAGAGGCCTCAGAGGTCATCTAGTCCATCCCCCTGCTTGAGCAGGAGACGCTTACAGAATAATAGAGTTGAAAGGAACCTTAGAGGTCATCTAGTTCAACCCCCCAGCTCAAGAAGACCCTATACCATTTCAGACAGATCTGTCCAGTCTCTTCTTAAAAAATTTGGGATGCTTTCTGAGCTTGGTGGTTTTCTTGCTGACCTCACATTACCACGCTAGGTAACATAATCAGTTCAAGAAAGGAGTTTGTGGTCTGTTTATACCACTTAAGCCCTTCTAGTGCTGATGACATTACCTAGTTGGTCATTAAATATTGGCAAGAAAACAATCCATCCGGAGGGATAGCAAGGTTTGGTTGAATAACCATAAGACTCATTTAGGAAAGGGGGCAGAGCCGTGGATCCACAAAGACCGTTCCCTCAAATTGGCCATGTCCCCCCCACAAATAAAGTGGAATATCCCCAAATTTTGGTGGTCCAGATACCCCCTCCCATCAGTTGGCAATGATTCCTTCCCATCCAAACCCGGAGAGCCAGCGTTTCCTCAGCAACTCTAAGATGGGTGGACCTCAACTCCCAGAATTCCACAGTCAGCAAGAATTCTGGGAATTGAAGACCACTCCTCTTAAAGCATGATGGCTGGGGAATTCTGGGAGTTGAAGTCCACCCGTCTTAAAATTGCTGAGATTAAGGAAGACTGTTTCAGGCTTAGAAGGAGAAACAAAAGAATGTCAGAATTGGAAATCACCTGTGTATTTGTGTATTGGTCCGTTTGTGGTTTTGGAAAGAGGAATAATCTTTTTGGGAGCCTCAGGCTGCTTTGCTGACGTGCAAAAAGGAGGGTCGAGAAGACAAGGACAACTTTGGGGGCATGAGGCCCGCATGGGGCCCTTTAAAGCAGGAGCTGTTGCGGTCACCAAATTCCCATGCAGCCAAAAGAAAGAAAAAAAATCACGGTAACCTGTAATGATGATACACTGATTATTCCACATGTATGAAATAATTTTCTCCTGTCGTATTAAAAATTGCTATTCAGAGGCAATTAGTGGGGGATTTTTTTCCGGGGGGGGGTGTACTGAAGGGGTCAATTATGCCTTTCAGGTTGCAGTGATCTGGATGAAATTCGGGTAGCGATGTCGACGTCTCAGCGACATCCATGCATCCTTCTGGAACCATTTCCACCATCCGCGCCTGGCTCAAACAGATTCGGTCTTTCCCATTAGGATACAGGCAGTCGTCAACTTACAATGGTTCAATTAGTGACCATCGAAAGTTACAACAGTCCTGACTTCCAGTTGGCTCCGTGCGCCTCGTAGACGCTCCTCCGTGAGCGCCTGATCCCCGGCACCGTAAAAGCTTCCAGAACAGCAGAAAACAGCTGTCTGGAGGCTTGGAACCCTTCCCCCCGGGCAAAGGGGAGAGAGGAGAGCCGACAGGCGGAGGTAGAGCCCCCCAAGTGCCCTAAGAGAAATTCTGGGGCGCGAAGGGCGAGAGCTCCCTAGAAGCCTGTCAATCCGCTCCGGACCTGGGACAACTCTGCTAATTAGCGGAGCAAGAAGCCGCAACCAATTCTGCCAATAACAAATGAGGGGATTTCCAACATTCTAAATTGCTGCAGGCAGAACAAGCCAGAAGAAGTCAGACTGCAAGTATTCAAACTTAACTCCAATGTTTATTGCCTCCTTTGGAAGTAACAATTTAGTAAATTTGCATCAAAATGGCGATTGAGGCTTGAAAGGGTGTGGAAAGTGAAAGTTAAAGGAAAGTTTCATTTCACTGGTAGCTTCTTGCCTGAAAAGAACTTTTGTAATGAGAGAAGGAGGATTTTAAGACATCAATTTAAGACTGGGGAAAATCTTTGACTTTGATGGACTTTTTCTTTTGGCTTCTGATTAAAATATAAAGATTAATTTAAACTGAAAATGGCCTCAAAACCTGTAAAGACTGTTCCTATCAAAGGAACTGGGAGCGCTGGAAGCTCCCCCAGCTCACACTTTTAAAATGCAAGCCTCTGCCCCCCCAGCAGATCCACAGACCTTAATGTTTGAAATGATACAAGAAGCCCTAATAGCCACGCAGAATAAACTGACCACTGTGATTAATGAAAAAATTAATGAAACTAATGAAAAAATTAATGAAACTAATGAAAAAATACAGGCTGTTTCAGAGGAGATTCGGAATCAGCAAATCAGGGAAGATATATTACTGGCAGGTAATATTGAAATATTGGATGACAAAGTTGAAGAAATTAAACAATCTATGGAAATTCTGGATAATAAATTAGGAGAGACTCAGAATAAAATTGAGAAGGCTGAAGCTGATGTAACAATGATTCAATACAGAGATATGGAATTTGCATTAAGAATAAGAGGGGTGAAGGAGAACAAACAAGATAATTTGAAAGAAATGATGTCAGAGGCATTGGCACAGATGTTGGGGGGGACGAAAGTGGAGTTAGGCTGGCAGATTGACAAGATATATTTTGTCAATTCGTGGGTGGCCAGACAGAAACATTTACCAAGAGACATTGTAATATATTTTACTACAAGGAGATTACGCAATGAAATTTTACAGGCTACCTTTAAAAACAAGCTTCAGGTGGAAGGCCAGGAGGTGATGACAATGAAAGAAATCCCTCCCAAAATGTTGAGAGCTAGAAGGGATTACGCCTTTCTGGTGGATGAACTGAAAAAACGCCAAATACAGTATAGATGGGAAGTACCAGCTGGCCTAGTGGTGATCTATTCGGGAGAAAGATATCGGCTTAATACAATATGGAAAGCAAGAGATTTCTATGCCAATGTGTTAAAGGCTGGGACATCAAAATCACCAGAAGGAAAAAGAAAGAAGGAAGTAATGGAAGGAGAGAGAGAAGAGCTGTTGACAGTAGTCCAGGGGGGAGTTTCGACAAGTCAAGAAGAATTGTTACAGATGGCTGTTCAAGATTTGGATCTAATTGATATATCAGAAGAACCGAAAGATCAAAGACAGACTAGAGCAGCAACAGCTAAATGCAAGGAAGAATTAAGACAGCAACAACTTTGGATGGCAACTCAAGAAACTACCAAAACAGAAGCAGTGGGAGGAGCTAGACCTAAAGGTCAAATGAGGCAAGACCATCAGAAAATGCTCCAGATGCTTCAGAGGCCCAAATATGGGAATTAGATTTTTAACCTGGAATGTCAATGGTTTGAATTCTCCACAGAAGAGGAGGAAAATATTTCACTATCTTAAACAATTTAAGAATGATGTAATTTGTTTACAAGAGACTCATATTAGGATACAAGATCAAAAATATTTGGCAAATACAAGACTAGGTACATATTATGTAGCAGCAGCACCAGAGAAGAAAAACCGTATAGTTATATATGTGAAAAGAGATTTAATTGCCAAATTAATTGAAGCAGATGACCAAGGAAGATTTCTAGCGATTGAACTTTTAATAAAAGGAGAAAAATTACTTGTAATCCGAGTATATGCCCCGAACCAACAACAGGAAAATTTTTATAATTTTCTACATTCAAAGTTGACACAATGGGGATACAAGACTTGTATCCTACTGGGTGACTGGAATGGTGTTTTGGACGTAAAAAAAGATAAGAAGGGACCTAAGCAAAATGTTTTAACAAGAGCAAGATTGCCCAAATCGTTTTTGGAGATGATGGACGATTGGGAGTTGAGGGATATTTGGCGTGAAAGAAACCCAGAAGAAAAAGATTTTACTTTCTTTTCGGATAGACATCAATCTTTTTCAAGGATTGATTTTATACTAATTACTAATGACCTTTTTTCTAGGGTGAAGAATACGAAGATTTGTTCAAGAACATTGACAGACCATAGTCCAGTTTGGTTGGAACTGGAGTATGGAAAAGGGCCTAGGAGGTCCTGGAGTTAAATGATAACTTGTTTAGATATGAAGAAAATGTAAAAGAGTGTAAAAAAATCTATGAAAGAATTTTTTGTTACGAATATGCAAAAGGGGACATCTATGGAAGTGGTACGGGATGCAAGTAAAGTGTACATGCGACGAATTTTGATATATTTGAATAATAAATATAGAAAGAAACAGGGGGAAAAAAGAAAAGAATTAGAAGATGAGATTAATAAACAGGAACGAGCTTTAATAGCTAATCCAACAGATAAGAAAATTAAAGAGATAATTAGAAAGGTCAATTTAATAGCAGATCAAGTGGCAACTAATTTACAATATGCTAAACATAATACTTTCTGTAATGCTAATAAACCAGGCAGGTGGTTACCATATTTGTTAAGGAAAAAGCAGAAATCAAGGATTATAGAGAAAATAAAATATAAAGGGTAAAGAGATTTATGAGCAAGAATTGATTAAAAATTCTTTTTTAGAGTTTTACTCAAGTCTGTATATTGGTGATAAAATTCAAGATATAGATATAGATAGATATTTGCAGAAAGAGAACATTTATATAACTTCAAAAGAGCAGAGGGACAGCTTAAATCAATTGATAACTTCCGAGGAAATTTTGTTTGCAATTAAGCAGTTGAAAGTGGGTAAAGCTCCAGGGACAGATGGCTTGACAGCTGTTTATTATAAAAGCTTACAGGAGGAAATGGTGGAACCATTGAAGGAATTATTTAACAATATACAACAGGGAGGAGAAGTACCTCCGACTGGGAAGACAGCTTTTATTTCTCTGATCCCAAAAGAGGGTCAAGATCATACAGATGCAAAAAATTATAGGCCGATTTCACTTTTAAATACAGACTACAAGATTTTTGCTAAAATATTAGCAAATAGGTTAATGACAGTTATGCAGCAAATGATTCATCATGATCAAACTGGTTTCATAAATGGTAGACAAATGAAAAGTAATGTGAGGCAAATTGTTAATTTACTAGAATATTTGGGAAGGAACAACCAGGTCTCCGCAGAGCTAGTATTTTTGGATGCTGAGAAAGCTTTTGATAGATTGAATTGGCAATTTTTATTAAAATTAATAGAAAGGATGCAACTTGGAGAACATTTTATACAATCTATTAAGGCAATATATCAAAAACAAACAGCGCAAATAATCAATGGTGGTTTAACAGATAATTTTAATATAGAAAAAGGAACAAGGCAAGGCTGTCCCTTGTCTCCGTTATTGTTTATTTTGACGCTGGAAATTTTATTAAATAAAATACGTGGGACTGATATAATAAAGGGGATTAGAATTAGACGGCATGAATATAAGTTACGAGCATTTGCGGATGACCTGGTGGTTACCTTAGCCCAACTGGTACAATCGATTACAGACTTGATGGATATAATCTGCTCATATGGACAAGTATCTGGTTTCAAAATAAATACAGCCAAAACAAAGATAATAGCTAAAAATATGACTAGAAGCCAAAAAGAAGAGATAGAAAGGGTAACAGGATTTGAGATAGTTAAGAAGGTTAAATATTTAGGGGTTTATATTATGACCACAAATATGAAATATCAGCACAACTATGAACCGTTATGGCAAAAAATACAGAAAGAGATGGAAAATTGGAAAAAATTACAACTGTCTTTGCTGGGAAGGATAGCTGCAGTAAAAATGAATGTTTTTATTTCTATTTCAAATGATACCTATACTTAAAAAAGATGAAATTTTGAAGGAATGGCAGAAGGGCATAAATAAATTTGTTTGGGCGGGGAAGAAACCGGAAGTAAATCAAAAGATAATGCAAGATACACGAGAAAGAGGAGGTCTTAAAATGCCCAATTTAAGATTGTACTACGAAGCCGCTGCCCTCTCAGCAATTACTGACTGGATTAACTTAACGGAGGAAAGGATGTTAAATATTGAAGGATATGGTCTGGTCTACGGCTGGCATGCCTATTTATTGTATGATAAGAAAATAGATAAGATGTTTAAAAGTCATATATTAAGAAATGCTCTATTGCGTGTCTGGAAAAAGTATCAATATAAATTAAACGATAAGTTACCAATATGGACAGTACCCAGACACACGATAGAGAATATAAATTTGGAGCAAAAGCAAGATAAGACTACATACAAGGAACTCCTCTATAAAGAAGGAGTTGGATTACAACTAAAATCTATGGAACAATTAAGAGAAGAAGGAATAATTAGAACTTGGTTTCAGTATGGACAGCTGCAGGCCAGATGGGGAGAAGATCAGAAAACTGGTATTTTGCAGCAGGATGAGAATTTGATAAATAAGAGACAAAAGTCAAATGCATATAAAAAGGTTGTATAATGTGTTAGTGGAAGTAGACTCAGAAACAGAGCTAGTCAAGGATTGTATGATAAAATGGGCACAAAATATAGGAGAACCAATAATGATGGAAACATGGGAAAAGATATGGGTTAGAAATGTAAGATTTACACAAGCCCAAAATTTAAGAGAGAACTTTTATAAAATGTTTTATAGATGGCATTTAGATCCAAAAAAACTAGCTTGTATGTATCCAAATTTACAACCCAAGTGTTGGCGATGTGAGTGTGAAGATGCTACGTATTTTCATATATGGTGGACATGTAAAAAAATTAAGGCTTTTTGGATAAAAATATGGTGGATTATTCAAAATATTTTAAAGAAAATGATTAAATTTACACCACAGTTTTTTCTGTTGGGAATAGTCACGGATTGTACTGTAATAGAGACTAAGTTGGTTTTGAACTTAATAACAGCTGCCAGGTTACTGGTGGCACAGTACTGGAAGAAGGAAGATCCACCCACCATTGAGGAATGGACACTAAAAGTTGTGCATTTGGCAGAGATGGCGAAAATCTCATCATATCTTAAAGACCATTCAAACGAAAGATACATATCAGAGTGGAGAAGATGGGTTGACTATATTCAAAACAAGTATCAGACTAAGAAGATTCATATAGCTTATGAGTGAAACATTTTCAATCTTTAGTTTATGTTTATAGTGTTTTAAGTTATAAGGAGTTAAAGACCTAGAGGGAATCTGAAGTCAATAATTTGTTAGCATATTTTAGTTTTATGTTTGTGAATGCTATACCTTGTGCTTGTTCTGGGAAGTCTAGGGGGGTGAGGGTGGGGGGAATGGGTGGGAGGGTAAGGGGGAGTGAGGGGGGAAGGGGGGGAAATGTTTGTATTTCCTATAAAACTTCAATAAAAAAAAAAACAGCCCTGAAAAAACCCTACTTCAGACTGTTTCTCACACTTAGGACTGTTGCACTGTGCCCATGGTCACATGAGCCAAATTCAGACACTTGGCGGTCTATGACTGTCACAATGTCCTTGGGGGAGGGAGGTCACACAATCCCTTTTTGTGGCGGTCCGACGAGCAAAGCCAAGGGGAAAGCCAAATTTACTTCACAACTGGGTTACAAGCATAAAAACTGCAATGATTCACTTAACAACAGTGGTCAGAAAGGTTGTCAAATGTGGCAAAATTCACTTAACTGTCTCATTTAGCAACAGAAATTGGGAGCTCTATTGTGGTCGTAAATCCAAGAGTACCTGTGATCCTCATCGTTCCAAGTTTAGCGACTGAAATTTTGGGCTTAATTTTGGTCATAAGTCAAGGACTACCTGTCATTAAACCATGTTTAATTTTAGCCAGGCTCAGCCTGTGGGGATGCAACCACCCACCCGTCCACGGTTACTCAAGAGAGTTGAATGAGTTCTGCTGCTGGTTGGCCAAGTGGACGTTGGCCACGGATTGTGGAAGCCGGTCCTTGGCACCTGCCCTTCGCTCCAAGGAGCACGGCTGTCTTTAGTAGAGCATATGACGGCCGTGGCCAGGGAGGTTTTTTATCAGGTTCGCCTGATTTGCCAGTTGCAGCCCTTTCTGAACCGGGACGCCTTGCGCACGGTCACTCATGCCCTTGTCACCTCCCGGCTGAACTACTGTAATGCTCTCTACATGGGGCTCCCCTTGAAGAGCACTCGGAGGCTCCAACTGGTCCAGAATGCAGCCGCGCGGGTGATTATGGGTGCAACTCGTTGCGCCCATGTAACACCGCTCCTGCGCGAGCTGCACTGGCTCCCGGTGGTCTTCCGGGTGCGATTCAAGGTGTTGGTCACCACCTTTAAAGCGCTCCATGGCTTAGGACCCGGGTACCTTCGAGACCGACTTCTGCCACCGATAGCCTCCCACTGGGCAGTCCACTCCCACAGAGAGGGTCTCCTCAGGGTGCCGTCGGCCAAGTTATGTCGGCTGGCGACACGCAGGGGGAGAGCCTTCTCTGTGGGAGTTCCTGCCCTTTGAAACAAACTGCCCCCGGAAATGCGTAAGATCTCCGACCTCCGTGTATTTTGCTGTGCCCTCAAGACCCTGCTGTTCCGCCAGGCCAGCCTATCAATGTAATGATTTTAAATTGGGTGTTTTAAATTTTGGGGGTGTTAAATTTGAGCCAAAATTATTTAATAATTTTAATTATTTTTAATTGATGTTTGTCTTTGTGCTTTTAATAGGCTGTACACTGCCCTGAGTCCTCCGGGAGAGGGGCAGTATAGAAATAAAATTATTATTATTATTATTATTATTATTATTATTATTATTATTATTATTATTATTATTTAATCTTTAGTGAGATTCACAGCCTTTGAGGCTGGTTAATAGCTCAGCAGCTCGAGTCCTAACCAAGGACCTAGGAACTGTTAAGGTATCGTCGGAGGATGGAAGCTGTTCCGAGTAAGGTGGTTTTTTGTAGAGTCACAATGTTCAAGTCCGGCAAATTTAGAATTTCTAAATAGCGGGGTAGCCCTTTGGGTATTGCTCCAAGGGCTCCAATTACAATCGGGAGAACACACAATTTCTTTTTCCACAGTCGCTCAACTTCAATTTGTAAGTCCCGGTACTTTGTGATTTTTTCTTGCTGCTTATCTTCAATTCGTGCATCACCAGGTATTGCAATGTCAATGAACCATACTTTTTTCTTTTCAACTATTGTTATGTCAGGTGTGTGGTGGACCAAGTGCCTGTCAGTCTGAATCCTAAAGTCCCACAAGATCTTGAGTTTCTCATTCTCTAAAACTTTCTCAACCTGATGTTCCCAGTGGTTTTTGCTGTACTCAAATCCAAACTTCTGGCACCATTTCCAGTGAATGAGCTTAGCAACGCGGTCATGGCGTTGTAGGTAGTCAGTTTGTGAAATTTTGCTGCACCCACTGATCAGGTGGTCAACTGTCTCATCTTTCTCATTGCAGAGGCGGCATTTGCTGTTGGTGGTAACATGTTGAATTTTTGCCTTCATGCAGTTTGTGGCTAGGGCTTGTTCTTGAGCTGCCAAAATAAAGCTTTCGGTTTCTTTTTTCAGTACTCCTGATCTTAACCAGTTCCAAGTTAGTTTCTGGTCAGTTTTGCCTTCAATACTTTTCAAGTATTGGCCATGCAGAGCTTTGTGTTTCCAATTTTCAGCTCGCTGCTCAATTACTTCTTTCTTATATTCTGCTTTTGTTTTAGTTGTCTTTAAAAGGCCTCCTTTATTTACTTCCTTAATCATTGATTCTTCACTTTTCTGGATGTAATAATTCAAGCTGCATTTTTCTTCTTCCACAGTCTGCTTTACTTGTAGGAGTCCTCGACCACCCTCTGCTCTTGGTAAATATAATCGGTCAACATCACTTTTAGGGTGCAAGGCATGATTCATTGTCATAAGCTTCCTTGTTTTTCTGTCCAAATTGTCTAACTCCATCTGGGTCCAGTCAATTATTCCTGCAGAGTATCTAGTCACAGGTATAGCCCAGGTATTTATGGCTTTTATGATGTTTCCTCCACTCAATTTGGACATTAATATCTTACGAATTCACCGAATGTACTTGGCTGAAGTTAATTCCTTGACTTTATTATGCACTAAGACAGAGGCTTCTAAAATCCCCAAGTACTTGTAGCCTTCTTCTGATTTTACTGCCTTTATCATTTCTTCATTCTCTAGTTCTATTCCATCCTCTTCTATGATCTTGCCTGCTTTGGTTGCTATTGTTGCACATTTGTCAATTCCAAACTGCCTACCAATGTCTTGGCTGAATTCTTTTGTGTTTTCAATTAATAAATTCTGTTCAGCTTTTGTTTTACCAAACAGCTTCAAATCATCCATGTACATCAAGTGCGAGATTTTCAGTCCTTTCTTTACAAGTTTGTATCCACAGTTCATCTTCTTCAAAATGATTGTCAGTGGTAGCATTGAGAGTATAAAAAGTAGGGGTGAAAGGGAATCGCCCTGGAAAATGCCTCGTTTAATTTCAACTTCACCCAGTTCTTCTTCATTAGCCATAAGTTTTGTTTTCCAGAGGTTCATTGAAGATTCCATGAATTTTTGTATGTTGCTGCTGATGCCTAAGATTTCCAGGCATTTCTTGATCCAGCTATGGGGAACTGAATCAAACGCTTTCTTATAGTCTATCCAAGCCATGAACAGGTTGGTTCGTCTTTTCTTTTCTTTTCTTTTCTCTTTTTTTCTTTTTTCTTTTCTTTTCTTTTCTTTTCTTTTCTTTTCTTTTCTTTTCTTTTCTTTCTTTTTTTCTTTTCTTTTCTTCTTTTCTTTTCTTTTCTTCTTTTCTTTTCTTTTCTTTTCTCTTTTCTTTCTTCTTCTTCTTCTTCTTCTTCTTCTTCTTCTTCTTCTTCTTCTTCTTATTATTATTATTATTTAATCTTTAGTGAGATTCACAGCCTTTGAGGCTTATGATGATGATGATGATGATGATGATGATGAACCAATCGATCAATCTTTCAGAATAGAGCTGGAAGGGACCTCGGAGGTCTTCTAGTCCAACCCCCTGCTCAAGCAGGAAACCCAAATACCATTTCAGATCCTTTTCAAACCCCTGGCCCTTTCTGGATTCCTTTCCCATAGCAGACCTAGCTGTCCCCCCCCCACAAAAAAAACCTTCCTCCCTTCCCAGTGGAGACCCCAGGAGACATGAGAAAGAACCAGGAGCCCATCAGGAAACTGCTGAAAATGGTTTATTGACTGAAAAGAAAGACTGTAGAAGGCTGGAGAATTTGCAGTGGGAGTGCCCCCGCTGCACTCCGATTTGGATCCATGGAGGAGAGGCATCAGTCAACGTTTGGAGAGGTCGCCACCTGGAATGAAAAGACAGGGAACTGGGAGGTCGGATCCTGTGAGGAGGGGGAGCATGGAAGGTGGGACTCCCTCAACAGTGGAAGATTTGAGGGGGGAAGGGTTGGGGGGTCTCCTTTGAGCGGGGCCTCCTTGCAGAAGTCTATATGGTTTGGGTGCTGAGTAGGGAGCTGGACTGGAGTGCCTGGGTCAGTGCCTGGGGGTCTCCAAATTTGGGCACTTTTAAGAATTGCGGACTTCAACTCCGAGAATTCCCCAGCTGGCATGCTGTAAGAGGGCTGGACATCGACTCCCTGAATTCCTGAGTGATTCTCGAAATCACAACCATTTTCGCTGACAGAGGACTGCAGGAGGCTGTTGTGGCCGTAAACAAACCCGGGCAGGCCGTGCACTGCCTCCCCAAGCTCCATTTTCATTGGCAGAGGGCTGCAGGAGGCCATCGTGGCTGTAAATGGAGCCTTGATGTGTGACGTGGAGATGGCCACGCCCACCCTGGCCACGCACCCCCAACCCACCCAAGGTCAAACACAAGCCTGATACGGCCCTCAATGAAATTGAGTTTGACACCCCTGCCCTACACCATTTCTGACAGATGGCAGTCCAGTCTGGGTTGTAAGGTATAGGGACCCTTTTTCCGCCCTCTTGGAAAACTGATGGAGAATGATTATGACTTCTTTGAGGGAGGGTAACTTCCCGACCGCCTTGAAGGAGGTGGTGGTGAGGCCCCTCCTCAAGAAGCCGCCCTTGGATCCAGCTGTTTTAAGTCATTTTCGTCCAGTCTCCAACCTCCGCTTTCTAGCGAAGGTTGTTGAGAATGTGGTGGCACATCAGCTCCTGCTGGTCCTGGATGAAGTGGATTACCTCGACCCGTACCAATCCGGTTTCAGGCCCACGTACAGCACGGAGACGGCATTGGTCGTGCTGGTGGATGATCTCTTGAGGGCCCAGGACAGAGGTTATTCCTCTGTTCTGGCCCTATTGGATCTTTCAGCGGCATTTGATACCGTCGACCACGGTATCCTGCTGCGTCACCTCGAAGGGTTGGGAGTGGGAGGCACTGTTTTACAGTGGTTCTCCTACCTCTCGGGTCGAACGCAAGCGGTGTTGGACGGGGGGGCAGAGATCGACCTCGAGACCCCTCTCTTGTGGGGTGCCCCAGGGGTCGGTCCTCTCGCCTCTCCTGTTCAACATCTACATGAAGCCGCTAGGGGAGATCATCCGTGGTTTTGGGGTGAGGTATCATCAGTACGCTGATGATACTCAGCTCTTCATTTCCACCCTGAACCAACCCAGTGATGCCCTCGACGTGATGGCCCGGTGCCTGGAAGCGATATGGGTCTGGAGGGGGAGAAACAGACTGCAACAGACTGCTGTGGGTACCGGCATCTCGGTTCAGGGGAGAGGTGCCATCGCTGACTATACGGGGTGAAGTTTTGCCCCCTGTAGACAGGGTGCGCAACTTGGGCATCCTTCTGGATTCACAGTTGAGCTTAGAAGACCAGATAACGACCGTGACCAGGGGGGCATTCGCCCAGATACGTCTGGTGCGCCAGTTGCATCCCTACTTGGACCGAGATGCCCTACGCACAGTTACTCATGGGCTGGTCACCTCACGGACTGACTACTGCAACGCTCTCTACATGGGGCTGCCCGTGAGGACCACTCGGAGGCTTCAGCTGGTGCAAAATGCAGCCACGCGGGTTGTGATGGGAGAATCCCGACACTCCCAGGTTACACCTCTCCTGCATGACTTGCATTGGTTGCCGGTTGCCCTCCGGGTGCGATTCAAGGTGCTGGTGATGACCTATAAAGCCCTACATGGCTTAGGCCCAGGATATTTGGCGGATCATCTGCAGCCAGCAACAGCGTCCCATCGCCCGGTGCGTTCCCACAGGGAGGGCCTACTCAGGGTGCTGTCGGCTAGACTGTGCCGGCTGGCGGCCCCCAGGGATAGAGCCTTCTCGGTGGATGTGCCCACCCTCTGGAATCAACTCCCCCTGGAGCTCCGATTAGCGCCTGACCTTCACACCTTCCGCCGCGAATTAAAAACTTGGCTTTTTAAATCGCTTGACCTAGCCTGATGGGGGGTTTTAAGGGTTAAATTTTAAATTTTAGATTTTATTTTGTATTGTGGCTTGTGTTTTTATTAGTGTGAGCCGCCCTGAGTCCATTGGGAGATAGGGCGGCATATAAGCCGAATAAATAAATAAATAAATAAATAAATAAATTACCTTGGCAGCTGCTGCATTCACACCCACGGATAACCGGGAGAACCACGGGTTCCGTTTCGCTGCCCGGGCACTGCAGGTTCAGGATGCGCACCGGACTGACAGGATCCAGTCGGTAACTGCAACAGTCGCAGACAGTCTCCAGGTAGGGTTCCTGCAAATGACAAACCGGACGAGTCCCGAGAAAGTCGATGGACATAGAAACTTCTTCCGGGACCTCTTCCCCAGGAATCACGGACGGGGTGAGGGGGTATCCAGGGTTGTCTTACCTCCGGGATGACGTTGGTGTGGGAGGCGCACTGACCCTTGCAAAAGCCCACCTCCACACCGGCCAAGAAGCAGAGGCCCTTGGTAATATTGCGACGTTCAGTGAAGTGTCGGCAGTGCCGGTCAGGTTCGGCTGTCGGGGCAAAGAAAAGGTTATGAGCCTGGCAGAACCCAGGGGAGACCGGGCACACAGGTGGGATGGCTTAGTGGGGAGAGACTGAGGTCAGAATAGTCCGGAACCCCATAATTGGGGGGCAGGTGGGGTCTAGGAAGCATTGAGGATCGGATGCCCCGAGTTCAGTGCTTCTGGCCCCTCCCACAAAAGCAGCTGATTTGATATTTTGGGTGCCCCGCTGGCGTTTCCACTGCAAAGCAAAAGTGCCTGTCTCCTCCCTCCCTCCCTCCTTTCTTTCCTTCCTTCCTTCCTTCCACAGGTTACTTGCTTGCTTCCTTTCTCTTTCTTTCTTTCCTGCCTTCCTTTCTTTTTCCTTCCTTCGTTCCTTCCTTCTCTTTCATTCTTTCTTTCCTTCCTTCCTTTCTTTCCTTCCTTCCTTTCCTTCCTTCCTTGCCTTCCTGCCTTCCTTTCCATCTTTCCTTTCTTTCTTTCCTTCCTTCCTCAGTTTCCTTTCTTCCTTCCTTTTCCTTCCTTTTCTTTCTTTCTCTTTTTTCTTTCCTTCCTTCCCTCCCTCCTTCCTTCCT